TAAGCTGAATCAAAATTTTCAAAGAAAGAGAACAAACCATACATATCAAAAGCACACAGTAGTATGGAAAGTAAGATCTTTTATAGCTAACCTAGATTCTTCCGTAGGAATCCAGTTCCAGTAACGGCGATCTTCAATCCCCGTGATGGCCATGGCCTTCGCGGAAACCGACGTGCAAACCCTTCCTGTGACCCTGTCTATCCATACCAGCTGCAAAACCCACCAAACGCATCAAAAATTGAACAAGTTTAGACATATTATACCAAACCCAAAACCCTAAATTGCAAAATTACACCAAGAAAACCAACCCAAAACCCTAATTCCCAATTACACACCAAGAAACCCACCTTATTGCCATCGTCGAAGGGTATAGGGCGAGATAGCAAAGCAAAGATGTCCTTCTTGGAGAGGTTCTGGTACATCTGAGGAGGCAACAAATCGAGTAGATCATGGTAATTTGGGGGCAACTTGGATTCCCAAACAGAATCAGACGACGCCGCACCACGGAAAGCCCTGTTGAGCCTCGCAAGGTTGCAAATCTCAGGCGGAGTCAGGTACATGAACACGCAGGCCACGCAGCTCTCGGGTATGTCTCCAAGACCCGGTCCATGACCCGAACCGTTCGTCCCCTCCGTCAGGTTCGAGAGCGACGCTCCCATATGTTCTCCTAAATTTCACTGTATTTACAAAACACTATTGGGTTTCTATCAGGTCATGGTGTCCGTACAGATATTTTGGAGGGTGGAAAGGCGAAGAAATGGATGGGTGGGTTTTCTTGGGTTTTGAGGAAGATGGAGGTGCGTGTTGTCTGGGGATTTGGAGTGTTTGGTTAGTGAGAAAGTGAAGTGTATGGGGAATTTCTAGCGTGGGTTTTTGGGTTTGTGATGGGTTTTTTGTCTGTCATATTTTCCGGGAAAATTTTGCTGGGGTAGGAAAGTGAGGGAAAATTGGAAGGGACGGAGATGAGGGGAGGACGCAATTTCGCTCCCCACCATTAGATACGGTGTGGTATTACATACCATTTATTATTCTTTTATTGCGTTATATTGTTTTTATTTTTATTTTTTCGCTAGGGGATAAATTTTTTTATAAAAAAAATAATAACCCTCGCCAAAAAATCATAACCTTTGTTTTGGTTTTGTGGTATTTTTCTCTTCATGTTAGAAGAAATCATTAACTCAAATTTCACTTCATATATTTTGTTCATTAGTTTTTTTTATAGAACATTTCTTATTAAGATGACAATAACATATTAAACTCACATACACTACAAAGATATTAAGACTCGAACTTAGGACTTTTCTTGAAAGAGCATTGCTCCAAACCACTATACTCATGAGTCTTTGCCATGTTGTCCATGAGTTTTAGATCAAATGAATTGCTACTAATCTAAAATATTACAATATAAATTAACAACCTTTGCTAATTATGATCATCATTAACTATTTTTGGTATTTTAATTAGATATTACTCTACTTCCAAATTAAGACCAAATTGTAAAAAAAAATGTTTATGTGGATTGTTTTCGTCATTTAAGTGAGTGGAGGGAGATCAAAGCTTGGATTGTCCTTATAAAATATTGAAATTATAAAGGCTGGATTTTCCACCACACCAAAAAAAAAAAAGTTGGATTGGTGGGCGCAAGAAAGAATGAGGCTTTTGATTAGGGAATTTGCATGCGACAAAGATCAAATGGTCCTCCTGATCTTCAACGCACGTTTATCACTGCGGCGGACTAATCGGAAGCTACAAAAAGTCAGCCAACTTTTATGGTCCAATAAAAAGTATGTTCATTCGACACTTCTTTCCGCCCATTCGCTTGATTATTTTATTTGTCGTGCACCTTATCTCATACCATCCCTACCCAGCCACCACCAACTATTATTAACCATTTGATCTACAAGATCCTTGTACGTTCAAACTTTTCTTAAAATGCGAACATACACTCGGAGCACACCTTCCCCGAATAAATCAGAAGCAAAGCAACAGAGTAGTATGGTCTAGAAAGCAAAACACATTTTGTGTCCAGGAGTAGGATATTTCGTCGGCAGTTGGCACAATTGGCCTTTGCTTTATGCAAACATATGATGCAAATTGCAATGCCTGAAATGACCTTGGTTGGACAAAGACTCGTCGGCTTTCCAGCACGCTTCGAACGCCTAGACTTGCGTCAAAATATTCTCAACATTTGGGTCCACCCAATCTTCAATTTCTTCTCCACCAAACAAGCGTCTTTAAACGACAAAGTTTTCAGAAAGGAGAGTCTAATTTTTATGTTCCTTTCTTTTTTGGGTGTTTAGGCCATAATGCCGAGAATGACAAGTAGAGACCTTCAAAAACTCCATGGCCCACGATATTGATAGCCATAGAGGAGTTGGGTTGGGACCTTTTGCCTTTTAGTTAAAGCTTCTTGAACCGTTGATCAACTAGTTAGAAAATTGATGAATGGGTAAACACCCAACCTAGTAAACTAGTTAGAAAAATTAACTTCATTTTTTATCTTCTTCTTTTTTTGATCAAGGAAAAATTAACTTCAATTCTTAGATATAATTGAACCATCTCCGAAACCTAGGCCTTACACCTCAGCATACCCATTAGGTTAGACTGGAAAAAGCCCAACTTGTAAAAGTTACCCCCAATTCCCAAAACGGCCCAAACATATGCGTCGATATCAAGAATCATGATAGTCCTTCTGGTGTAGAATCGTGGGAATTCACAATTGTTTTATATTTGCCTCGCCTCAACCATCGACGAAGAGAATACAATGATAATGACCCAAACTGTGTAATGCAAGTTTTTCTTTTGCATGTATCTCGCTATTTGTATCGCATTTACTGATTGCATGTTGAATATCTCTCTTTTTACATCGATAGGTGGGGACATCTATATTAGAGAGGTGGTCGGTCGAATACAAATAATTTAGAAGAAAACATTAGTCGTAGTTAAGTTGATGCATTAACACGTATAACTTGATTTTCAACTTAAATATATTATTTACTCACCAAACCAAACCAAACCTAACCTATGGACGGAAAGAAATCACACAAATTCCACACTAACATGAATATTCCTGCCCATTGTACTTGATAGTCGGAGGAGTCTTGGGGCTTAATAGCTTGTGGGTCCTTTTTAGGTCATTAGACCATCTCCAACCATGTTGGGGCTAAACTCAAATTTTCACCCTTCAAAATACAACTATTCATGTATTTTCAAGACTCAAAATTTTTTTCCTCCAACCTTGTAGACTCATAATTTGAGTCCGCAACTTTATTAAATTGTTTAAGAATGATTAACCCCTAAATTTTGTTTCTTGTTAATTTTTCTTGACATTATTTTTGTTTCAACACTCGTGATTTAATTTTCTAAACATTTTAACCTAAAAAAAATAAAATTCCAAAACATAATTGAATTTCACTTAAAAAATAAAAATAAGTACAATACCATACGTATGCCCGGAATAATTCGAACTCTTCATTGAATTATGTAAGTGTGTTTAAATTATCTAAGTATTTTTAAATAAACGACAATCATTAAATTTTGCCGTTGAGATTGCTTAAAATTCATCATGATTATTGATTACAAATATAGTTGTTGGAATATTTTTTTAAAAAAAACAAAACAAAAAAAAAACAAACAAACAAACAAACCAGCAATATCATATTTTTGGCACAAAGTTGCTGCCCAAACAGTGTAACCAAAACTGGGCCCAGCAAACATTGTGCAGCACATGGGCTTCAGTCAGAAAAAAAAAAAAGCAGATTTTGGGCCCACAAAATTATCAGTCCAGGCAAAAATGGGACTGGAATTCCACCCAAGATTTGAGATTTCTCAAATTTCCACCCCCAAAAATACATGGGTTGGAGATGGTTTTTGGAGGCTAAACTCAAAATTTGAGTTTCCACCCCAAGGGTTGGAGATGGTCCTACCCCCACTAAAAGATATCGAGTTAAAAGTTACCATCGAATGTCAAATCATCAATGGCACCAAAATCAAGTATACTCAACTTGACGAAATGAAGCGTGTTGAAATTCCTAGTGACAAGTTCACCAAAAGCAATACAAAAGAAATCTCCTAATGAAACCACTAGTATTGGGACAAAGATCATAAAATGAAATACAGTATAATACGTTTGATTGTATAAAACGTATATTATTTTTCTCTAATTAAAATTATACTAGAAATGGAAATATCTTATTTTTTAAAAATGAATATGATTAGCGCAAATTTACGAACTAGGAAAACAATTAAAATCTTTTTATATATGATTTTATAAATAAATCATCTTGTTATGTTAAGTTTTATACTAAGATATTTATTTTTAAATGAAAAATGCTAACAATCTTGTGAAAACCCAACAGCCACATCCATTCTGCACAAAAATATGAATATGATGATTTTGTCAGCTTTTTATTTTATTTTTTTGCAAAAAACAAAATTTCAGGGAGGATGGTGGGTGGGGTATGAGGGCAGGGACGATGGAGAAGGGAGGTGGGGTCTTCTAAATGGTTTTGAATTTGGGTTAACGGGAGGGACTTGGAATTTTATTTCCTGCAAAAGCAGCAGGCTCGCAAAGACTGAAGAGGTGCATGTGGAGTTTCATTTGTTGACTTTGCTAAAGCAAAGGAGTCAGTTTGCTTAATCAATGAAGTCCAAGTATGAGGATGGGTCTGGGTGGAGTGGTGGGTTATGAAGATGGGTCTGGTGCGTGTGTGTGTGAGAGAGAGAGAGAGAGAGAGAGAGAGAGAGAATGTGATAGTGGGAGAGAGAGAGTAATAAAAAAGTTGAAATTTTTTTTGAATAAAAATATTCAATAAATGACACATATGAAATTTAGAAAAAAAAAGGTTAGTTTGTTTTAAGTGTAAGAAAAGTAACATATAAAATTTAAATTTAAAAAAGAAAAAAAGAAAAAGTGACATGTATGATGAAGGAAAAAACACAAGATTAAAGAGAAAGTTGCGAATAATACTCAAGTTGATGGTGAATCGGTGATTGTATATTAAAGGCGCCTCCATGTACACCTACTGTATTGAAAACAAAACCTGTGGGTTTAACATTCCAAAGCAGGCAGAGGCAAAACCATGGGCAGTTTTCTGCTGTCTTCTGCACAAACAAAACCGGCCAAACTAAAACCGGTTGCTCCGCTCTCTGTATATAGCATATACCGCTTCTCTTTTGAATCTCTGTCACACAATACAATCCACCAACAAAAACAAAGCTCTCTCTTGCTTTTCACATCGTTCCTCTATGCATATGTTGTGCTTCTGCCACACATTTCTGCAAAAGCTGAAAAAGGATTCTTAATTGGAGCTGCCTCAGGATATGGTGATGTGAACAAGTCGGTTGCAATCTCTGAGTATCTGGTACTTTTGGGCAGTTTTTTTTTTTACTGGGTTTTGGTCCAAATTTCATTTCAATTATTGGGTACTTCTTTTTGCTACTGGGTTTTGTTCAGTGTATGTGTTTCTTTTTATAGACAATTGAAAGCCAGTGGTAGTATTTTGGGGGGATTAGATTATGACATTTGCTTCAATTGGGTTTTTGAGTTTTGCCTCAAAGTTTGTTTCTTTTGTATAATTAGTAAGAATTGTATCAGTAGGGACCGGTTTTTTGAGCTTTGAATGGAATCCAATGGGTTGTTTTCTGGAATCTTAGGCCTAGAAATGCCTTTGCATCAAACACAAAACCCCCAAAATCCTCAAAACCCTCATCATATGCACCAACCCCAAATGGTTGCTTATGCCCACCATGACCCTGATCATCCCCAACACCCTCACCAATCTGTCAAACAAGGGTACCCATTTGCCACCAAGTCCAAACAAATAGCTCTAAGTGATGATGATGAGCCTGGCTTTGGTGCTGATGACAACAGCAATGGGGATAACAAGAGGAAAATATCACCATGGCAGAGAATGAAGTGGACTGATACCATGGTCAGGCTTCTAATTATGGCTGTTTTTTACATTGGTGATGAGGGTGGGTCTGAAGGCACTGATCCCACAGGAAAGAAGAAGTCTGTCGGAGGATTGCTGCAGAAAAAAGGGAAATGGAAATCGGTGTCTCGGGCTATGATGGAGAAGGGTTTCTATGTCTCTCCTCAGCAATGTGAGGACAAGTTCAATGACTTGAACAAGAGGTACAAGAGGGTGAATGATATACTTGGCAAGGGGACAGCTTGCCGGGTTGTGGAGAATCAGGGCTTGTTGGAAAAAATGGATTTGTCACCGAAGATGAAGGAAGAAGTTCGTAAATTGCTGAATTCCAAGCACCTATTTTTCAGAGAAATGTGTGCATATCATAACAGTTGTGGTCATGGCACTGTTGGTGGGGTGTCTAATGGTGCACATAACTCCCCACCAGAGGGTGCCACAGAACCATCTGAGATTACAGCGCATCAGCAGCAGCCCCAGCAACAGAGGTGCTTTCATGCATCAGAAAATGCTCATGTTGTTGCCAATTCAGGCAGGTCAGAGACTGAGGCATCTAAAATGGCGAAAGGGGGAAGTGGAGGTGAGGACGAAGATGAAGACTATGAAGACGATGATTCAGAAGACGAAGATGAAGAGGAAGAAGAGGTGGTTGAAGTTGGCCCCGGCTCTAGAGGTCTAATGGGGCATGGACATCATGAAGACGACGATGACAATGACGACAGGGCTTCACTTAAAAGGCCAAGAAAGGAAGGCTGCTTTTCGGGGCCCTCATCCTCCCAGTTAACTCATCAATTGGGCTGTGAAGTGAGGGGTGTGCTGCAAGATGTGTCGAAGAGCCCTTGGGAGAAGAAGCAGTGGTTGAAGACGAGACTAATACAATTGGAGGAGCAACAAGTGAACTTCCAATACCAAGCTTTTGAGCTTGAAAAGCAAAGGCTCAAGTGGATCAAGTTTAGTGGCAAGAAGGAAAGAGATATGGAGAGAGCTAAGCTTGAGAATGAGAGAAGAAGGCTTGAGAATGAGAGAATGCTGTTGCTGGTGCGCAAGAAGGAGCTTGAGTTGCTTGAGCTTCATCACCAGCAGCAGCAGCAACAACAAAATTCTTCAAACAAGAGAGGTGACCCATCCTCCCTCACTGGATAGATTGTATATTATATATATAAGGTTTAGATCAGAGAGATGAGAGTGTTTCTCATTTTTGTTCTTCAGTTTTCTTGTGTAATTTAGTGGCCAAAATTAATACAAAAAGTTGATATTATTAGATGGTTATATTGTTAACGCAAGATGGTATTATCATGTCATCTTACATCTACTTATTAGATTGGTTGAATTGAACGACCTAATAATTTGAAGCATGTTTTCCGATGAGCCATCTCAATTTGCAATGAGAAATATGGATTTGTTGAATTGGTGATTGATTGTTTCTCACATTCTGTTTTTGTTTTCTCCCTTGTGTTGCTTGAGAGTGTCTTAAGATTATTTTCTTCTTACATAAGACGGCACATTTTCAATTTAGAGGTGCAAGGATTTGCTAAGCGAGGGTGGTCAAAGAACACAGATTATAAATTATATTCTCACCCAAAAAAAAAAAAAAAAAAGCTTATAAATTATAAAGTTTTTAACTATAGACGTCCCTGAATTTTTCCTTGAGTTGCAATTGGGTCAATGGACTTTTTTTTAGGTAATTACATCTTTTAACTCGACAAGTAGTTCCAATTGGATCCCGCCATCCAACTTCATCAAATTGTCCATCAAAATAAGGGGTAAAAGCGTCCTTTCAAGTTCCAAGAGTCTCTTTTCGCTTGATAATCCCTCAATAAGATAAATCCCCAAAATGAAGAAACCATAAGGGTGTTGAGTATCCCAAATCGCACCCTAAGGTAAAATGTCGAAGAATTCGACAGATTCAAATTGCAGCTTTGTTACTACGAACTTGGGTCGGAAATCAAACGCCGGACTTCATGGCCATCCAACTTTGTCAATTTGTCCATCAAAATAAGGGGTAAAATCGTCCTTTCAAGTTCCAAGAGTCTCCCTTCGCTTGATAATCCCTCAATAAGAGAAATCCCCAAAATGAAGAAACCATAAGGGTGTTGAGTATCCCAAATCGCACCGTAAGGTAAATTGTCGAAGAATTCGACAGATTCAAATTGCAGCTTTGTTACTACGAACATGGGTCGGAAATCAAACGCCGGACTTCATGGACAGATTTGAATATGTCGAAATTGTAATAACCCAAACCTTAATTAATATTTAACTATTAATTTATTAAGGAGAAAGGACAATTTTGCCCTTGGACTAAGTTATTAAGGGAAAGTTGACTTTTGACCGGAGAAGAATGTGACCAATCCACTTGCACCGTTGCGTAGAGCGCGACGAAACGAGTCCGTAGACACGGAGTAGACTCGAAGCGGAGTTGTAACGAACAAAATTACGGTCAAAATACTTCAAGGGGCAAAATAGTAATTTTCCAAGCCATATTTTTAAAAAACTCAGCTTCTCTCTCTTCTCCTCCAATTTCATCTTCTCTCTCGTGCGTCCCTTCTCCAGCCGTCTCCTTCAAAGCTCCATAACCACCGCCACCCTCCACTTCGGCCGACGAGACCGGACCCAATCGAACCACCACCGCTTCCTCTTCCAAGTCCGACCAAGCTCAGCCGTCACCACCGCCAGCAGCCACCGGAAAACGCAGAAAATCGCGCGGGTTTTGACAGATTTTCTCATCGCTCGTTCTCCCTCGATTCTCCACCAAATCGGACGAGTGAGGTATGGTTTTCTAGCTATTTTTCGTAACTTAGCTGCTGGTTAGGTATGATTTCAGAAATTTCAAGCGTAGATCGTTCGATTTTCAACTTAAGTTTCAGCCGGTTTTGAGGGTAGGATTCCGGCCACTTCCAGCCACTTTTTGGGGTAGGTCCAAGAACAAAAGTGATTCCAAATTGGGTGCTTTACGAGAGTTTGGGCCGGCGGTTTGGAGTTTTTCCAGCCACCGAAAATGTCTCAAGCCACCCAAGCTGCCAGCGCATGTGGCGGCGCGTGGGCAGTCTGGAGGGGACCACTCTCAGTTTCAGAATGATCCTCGTATTCTCACGAGCGTGTAGAAATTCGCGGATCTCAATTCGGACGTCATTTGAGTGTTAAGCGGACTTTTACATAGTGTGCATTATCCGGGTTCAATAGTTTTGAACCGTTGGGTCGTGATCACTTTTAGATATGTTAATCTAGACCTTGCCAGGATTGTGTAGGATTAAACGGATCGTGAATCGGAGTCCCAGATACTCTGAAATCGCGAACCCTAGTGTTAAGGGTTTAGAATCGTCGATCGTGTGATCGTGACGAATCTAACCGTCCGATCGAAATTAGATTCACGTGACGAATGTCCTAGGATTAAAGGAACGTAATGTGAGCATATGAATAACTTTAAATTGATGCACGCACTTCTAGAAGCCGGGGGTCAGGGTTTTATTTAAATATTTATACCGAGCAGTTTTATTAATATATTTTATTATGATATTTGAATCAGGCACTTGGACACCAGTTGACCAGCAGGAGGGACCTTCCAAAGGTCCAGCGAGCTCGGACCAACCGTGAGTGGACTTTTTGTTTTCATAAATGAATTTATGCAATTTAGTTTCAGTATTTGATCTTGAATAAGTTTTATTCAAAGACTAGTGTTTTATTAATGAGACATACTTTTAAATATTATGATTTGCATGCTGCCGAGTGGAATATCCTTTAGGGATATAGAGAAATAGAATTTTAGTTAAACACCAGATAAATGGCAGCAGAGTCCAGCCTTAACAGAAATTCAGTTATTTATAAGATCTTTCAAAAACTTTGCTTATTACTATTATTGTTACTTTCTAAACCACCCTAGGTACCCAAATATACAGATGTTGCCTTCGAATATAATGATGTCCACGGACATCCAGGTTGCCTTCGGATTTTATCAGTTGCCTTCGGTTTAGTCAACATGCTTGACAATTGCCCCACGAGTTCTATGGTACCCGGACTCGTGTGGAGCGAGGACGCGGATAAGGTTGACCAAGGTCCCTTGAATCCTGCGAGGTTGCGGCTCAGATTGACTTTGTGTCACCGAGACCCACGAGGACGTATCACCAATGGTGATGCGAGGGGAATTGACGGCATATCAGGAATTGACGGATATCAGGAATTGACGGATATCAGGAATTGACAGAAAAAAAAGGATACACCTAGGTGGTAGTTTTAAACTGATTTCAATACTTTTAAGAGATTGATGTTGACCATGAGCATGATTGGTATATTTATATATGTATATATGAGTGCATTGGTTTCAGTACATATATACATAAGAGAATGATTTAGTTTTTATAACTGCTTTTACAGTGGGTTAGTATGTTCATTTGTATTTTCTAAACTTTGTTTTTTGGTCCACTCACCTTTTTAATGTTGTGCACCCCCAGGCTGTAGACGTGCATCCGAGAGCCACCACAGGACAATTCCCGCTTCCCGCCCTTCCCCATTTTTAGGGTTACCTCGGTTCACAAGTGGTTACCTCTTTTGTAAATAAATCTGTATAATTGCTCTGACAGTGCCCTGGAACATACTTAACTGTTGGAACTTACTTATGTTTGTATACTAGCAGTTGATGTATATATTTAAGTGCTTGTTGACAGGTGTAACTTTTAGGAACGTTCGATTTACAGGGGAGACTTTGCCGAATTTTCGGTAGAAGTCAGGATTTAAGGGAATTAAGTTTCTAATCAGAGAAAGGGCAACCAAAGTCAATTGTGCTCGACACCCGCCAAGTGTCGATCACGAACAAGGTTCGGCTCGGATTCCAAAGTGGAATTTGGGTCGGGTCCTGTCAGAAATGGGCAGGAAATGAGCATAATGTTATATATCCTCTTTAAAATCTTTTGATGACATGGGCATAGTGTAGAAATGGACAAGAATTGGTAGTGTGAGCAGGATATAGGAAGGAATTGCTAGTGTAAAAACCCAGGCATAAGGAATTGCTAGTATTGACCATATAGATGAAAAAAACAACCACAGTCAAACTCGACAGATTCTATTAGGGTTTAGGAACGTCTACAATTACTCAAAAAAAAATTGCCTCAAAAAAAAATTCACGGACCCAATTACTCAGGGCAAAATTCAGGAACGTCTACAATTAAAAACCCTAAATTATAACGTGGGCTATATCTCAGTAAAATGTTGACATATGAGATCCAGAATTGGTGCTATAAACGACGAAAATAATGGCAAACTAATATCAAAAAAGGCATCTTTATTGGAGACTTGAATGATTTTGATATGTAAAGACAAAATGAGAGGTCATGTCACTTGAATTGTGGATAAACGATTACAATTGCCCCGGTGTATAATCCTTTATAAAAGTCAAATCAACAAGCAAGTCTCCAACACCTGGGGTATATAAACCTCACAGGTGACACGAATTGGTCCATTTCCCGGAAAAGAGAAAAAGGGAAATTATACCTCAGAATGAGGGTAAGAAGAAACTCTAATCTTCAAGCTCTATAATCTTGACGACAGAGGCATCACCAACTTTCTGGCAAACAACTACTCGGTCGTGCGACTTTACCACTCCGGAAGCTTTTCCGTGATCAAGAGCAACCTTCAGAACTGACTCGTTTGTTGCACTGGTAGACTCAGCCTGCAAAGTCATAGGACAACAAATTTAAGTGAAACAAAATCGACGTAAGTTTTAAGTACAACATGAAGATACACACACAGGGTGAGAAAAGAGTAATCTCTATAAACAAACATTCTTCATTCTGACAAAGATAGGGGCACTACACGTTGCACCTATAGTCATACTCGTCGAAAGTACAAAAAAGTCAAGATTATAGTCTCCAGCCAACAACCACGGTAATGTATGATCCACAGAAAAGAACCCTAACCTCTGTTTTATGTAGTGGTCAAGCCGGATGAATATGAATACAGAAAAGGAAAAAAAAACCTAACCGGCTTTGCCTTTGTATAATCAAAGGTGATTGAAATAATGGTACAATCTAGGACTATAGATAACACTAGCTAGCAGAAACCACACACAATTTACATTCCGTGTCAACCATTTGAAGGAAAAAAGCCACTTACAGGATGTCGAGGATCAGCAAGCATAGGGTAAAGACCCCTGACTAAAAGCGATTGCCTTGCCTGCAAATTAATATGTTTTTAAAACAAAAAGTTAGCAACAAAGGTTACATATTAAAAAGATAGGAGAACAAAAAATAGACGAACAATTAAAAGCAATATGCATATTTTGAAAAGCAAACTTCTAGAAATAAGTCTTAATTCTACAGCAAAGTCACATTTGAGAGA